TAAAAATTTTAATTGAGTAATTGCAAATGTATCAAGTATAGTATCCTGGCGGTCTCTGGACAGCCGACAGGCTACGTGGCAACGACACATCAGCGGGCCTGTGCTGGCTGCAGACTAGTCGGCTTCCCAGCGGCCGATAGGCCGCACGTGCAGTTTTAATTTGTTGGCCTGGCCCTGGCGTAAGTATGCCGTATGCATGCATGCGGTCGCGGCGCCGACGGCTCGCCTGGACTTGTACGGTTGTCTGCTGCTATATATATATATACATACACTGCGAGCCAGTGCCACTGTACGTTGTTGTATTACACATACAGACTATGATGATGCACATACGAGCCAGTGCCACTGTACGTTGTTGTATTACACATACAGACTATGATGATGCACATACGAGCCAGTGCTACTATATATATATATATATATATATATATATATATATATATATATGTACTACAATAATCATTTGTAGGGGCGGCTATATAAAGATCGTTTGTAGAGCCAATCGTCCCTACCATACCGTCTCTACAAATCATGTATTTGTAGGGTCAGTTCTCAGACCGACCTTACAAATCGATTTGTAGAGACGGCTCTCTACAAATCGATTTGTAGAGACGGCTCCCTACAAATCGATTTGTAGGGGTGGTTGATAACACCAGCCGCCTCTACAAATCGATTTGTAGGGACGGCTGATAACACCAGCCGCCTCTATAATTGAATTGTAGGGGCGGCTACAGTACCAACCGCCCCTACATTATATTTTTTCACTAAAAAATTTAAATTTACAATTCAAATTCGACCATAACTCATATATACATATGCTAGATGCTACTGATGATCTTCCAATTTAAGCTACTTATGTCAAATAGAGCAATTCCAGTTAGAAAAAATGATAGTGGAAAATGCATCCCTATATACAGATAAACATATGCTACTGATGATCTTCCAATCTAAGTTACTTATGTCAAATACAACAATTCCAGTTAGCAAAAATGATAGTGGAAAATGCATCCCATCCCTCTATACATATAACTGATATTTCCACCAAAAAATACTGGATAACAGAGATCCTAAATTTGATCAACAGATAAGCTTAAAATACAATGAGGACAAGCAAATTGAAATAAAGATCAAAAAATACATATAACTGATATGCCCAACTCAATGGATTTGTCTCCCCTGCCACAAATAACCAGTTAACCACCATAAAGATAAAATGCAACTATCAACTTTTTTTTAACACAGCAACTATCATATATTAGATTGATAACCCACTACCCAGAAGGGTAATTTTCTGTGTCACCATACAACAGACTGGAATGGTAGTTTTTTTTCTTTACCTAGCATCATATTGAGCAAAATTTCAGCTGTACCAGTGAAATATATACCCTTTAAAAAAGCACATGACATAAAACTCAACTTGGGACATGCTCCTGTACTAGACCTTCCATTCCAGGTACGAATCAAGCTGAAACTCCAAGTATTTAACCAAACATCTGGAGAACACAGAAGAAAGTTTTCAGAAAAAGATTTCTGAACTCGAACCAGCAATTACAAAAAATAGGAGTTCTGATAGCATTATGTTTCATCCTCAAAACAAGCTGTTTATAGAACATGATGAATAAGTTACCAGATCGCTGCCACTAATTTATGTGAGCCAATTTACATTCAAGCATACTTAGTAGCTCTGAACATGCAGTCCATACTCAAAACTACTAATTCAGATCATACTTTAATCTGTCATGACAGTTCTAGGTGCCACTATAAAGCAACACAGCAAAAAGATAGTGCTAGGTGACACTGTAAAACAACACAGCAAAAAGATAGTGTTCATGTTTAGTTGAGATACATGAAGAGAAGATCAAAAATATCTACTCACCAAGAGAATCGCTGGTAAGGTTTCAAAGGAAGAAACTTCTGATCTTGGACCTTAATGGTCTGCTAGCAGATATAAATCAAGATTACCATAATGCACACTTGGCACATGCATTGTTGTCATTTGGTGTTTTCATAGCAGCCACATCAGTTACTAGATTACTACCTAAGCCATTGGCAGCGTGTCCTCATGGGCATTTTTTTTCATAGAAGACCCCTGGTTAATCAATTTAGCTTGTCCATTGCAATATGTGAAGCGCAGCCAATATCTCATTCTCGTCCCCATTTTCTGTGTATTTCAGATTCTCCCTGCATTTTGTAATTTCAGATGTAGATTTTTCTCCACAGTTGTATGTCTGCTTAGATTATCCCCTGGGCTACATAAACTTTGGACTATGGGTTGTAAGGTTTATGAACTTGTCACCAAATTATGAAAGTAATGCAGTGGGTATATCTATATGTGTGGCACTAATAAATCAAAATAAGCTTGAAACAAAAAGTTTCCCATTTCAGGTAGCATCTGTGCACACAACAACATTAAGTAAAGGAATTATTTAATTTGACAAAAAAATACAACCCTATGCCATAGCGTTTCAGCTCAAGTCTTTTAGGAGTTTTAAATCCAGAATACATTTAATTCACAGAAGCTAATTAACATAACTTTAAAATACATATGGTGGCATACTGGCATGGAATATTTTTGCTGCTTGCAGGTGAGGTTCGGAAGTGTTGGATGAAAACAGGATGGATATTTGCAGATGTCCGTTCGAAAATGGTTCAAATACTAAATGGCTAATCTGTTTATAGAACATGATGAATAAGTTACCAGATCGCTGCCACTAAATTATGTGAGCCAATTTACATTCAAGCATACCATGGACTTCACCTTCCCATCTATGTGAGCCTATTTATGTGAGCCAATTTACATTCAAGCATACCATAGGGATGAAAACAGGATGGATATTTCACCTTCCCATCTATAGTTTCCTATTTTTGCTTCTGATTTTACTATCAATCAGAAATTTTAGACTTCGGTGTCACTCAAGCTACCATGGACTAAATTTAACAAAATAAAAACGGCAGAGGAGCATATCAGGTATGAGCATAGGTGAACCAACCTAACAATATTCGGAACCCAATTAACAACAAAAGGGCAATCCGAGCACTAAACATGATGATCCTACCAACCAGCTCCACCTGAGGTAGCACATCCATTACCCTGAACAATGCACAGGAATTTTAGGCAACATGCATCTCCATCAAGAAACATAACGCAAAAAGCAATCCACCATCTAGAAAACAATTCATCGGTACTTACTTCCTGCATTTAAAATTTGAGGTACTTGGTGCTTGCCGTTGTAGCTTGTTCGTTTACTATTGCCTCCCTGGGTGGTCGGTGCCTTAGCCCTAGCTGTCCTGCACTGCGCAAAGGGGAAGATGGAGGGAGAGAGGATCTGGGTGAGGAGCCATGAGACGGAGGACGGATCTGGGTGACGAGCCATGAGACAGAGAAGAAGAGGGTGAGGTACCTCCAGATCTGGCCGCCAAGCCGATCCGCCGAGGAAGAGGCCACGCGCGTGCAGACGGAGGCGTCGAACACAGGCACCTAGGGTTTCGATGTTTCGTCGAGCCCAGGAGCGCACACGGACCGGTGGGAGGAAGCCGTGTCGTGGTGGCAGCCGCGGCAACGGCCACCTGCGGGGGCTCATTGGCGCCCGTGCGTCGCCGTCCTGCCCACGCCGTTTGTTGGCCAGCGCGCCGTGGCATAGAGAGAGAGAGAGAGAGGGGGGAAGGTGAAAGCAGAGATGGAGGAGGGGGCCAGCACACCGCCACGTCAGGAGAGAGGAGAGAGAGAGGAGGGAGGGACGACGGGGGCGGAGGCGGTGAGAGCGGGAGCGACTACGGTGGGGGTCGCGGGAGGCGCAGCCAGCGCCTCGTGAGAGAGCGAGAGAGGGAGAGGATGGGAGTTTTTTTCCCAATGAGGAGGGGGAGAGATGGGAGATATTTTTGTGGTGAGGATTTTCAGACGACGTGGCTCACTGGTGAATTTGTAGAGGCGGCTCGTGATTCAGTCGCCCTATAAATGGACACAACATTTGTAGGGGCCGCTCGTATTATCAGCCGCCCCTACTGTGCCATTTGTAGGGGCGGCTGCTGTGCTGGAGCCCGAGCCCGACACTGTAGGGGCGGCTCGAATGTCAGCCGCCCCTAAAAAAAGCCCCGTTGCTACAAACTGTTTTTCACGTAGTGGTACACACTAGCATAAAATTCACCGACTCTGGATGTGAGTGATCCCAAGCAAGCAAGTAAATAAAGAAAAGAAGAAACCGACCCGGCATAGTTTTCGTCATGTTGCACGATTCTTTTCTTCTCTCTCGCGCAGGGCAGCCGCAGGACAGCCCTGGCTTTGTAAATTGAAATTGTAGGTGGATCGCATCATGCAATTGGAGAGCCAGCCCTGTGGATCGGAATATGCTCCGCTGCCGAAGCCGGACGTGACAGATGCGAGCGCTGATCGACGACGATGATGCGGCGGCTGGAGCCGGCGCCTTCGTCGGCGATGAAGGAGAGATGGCTCCTCCCTCTCTTCTAGAAGTTTTTTTAAATAACATTTTTAATGATTAATTGCAAACATAGAAGCTGTTACACAAAAATTGGAGGTGTAGCATCCGGTATGCAGGTGAGCGGCGGATAGGAGAGCTGTCGGCAACTCAGAAGCCGACGGGAGCATTTTTTTAAAATAAATATTTTAATTGAATAATTGCAAATGTATAAGCTGTTATAAAAAATAGCAAATACAGTATCCTGTTAGGCGACGTGAGACCAGTCGGCTTCCCAGCGGCCGCGCGCACGCGGAAGTACGTGCAGTTTTAATTTGTTGGCCTGGCCCTGGCGTAAGTATGCCGTATGCATGCATGCGCTCGCGGCGCTGACAGCTCGCCTGGGCTTGTACAGCTGCCTGCTGATATATATGTATATATTTATATATATATATATATATACATATACTGCGAGCCAGTGCCACTATACGTTGTTGTATTGCACATACGGACTATGATGATGGACACATGCAAGGATGACGAAAATAAATGCTGCCGTCTCGATGGGGCCCACGTACGTACGTGCCCATGGGGAGGAAGCTAGGATTGGTTGCGACTTGGACGAGCCGCGAACCCTCCGCCGTCACCGGCCGGCAGCGCGCAATCCGGTCCCTTGTTGGTGGTGCACCAGTTTGGAAGCTTGTGGTACGGTGATGATTGGCATTACTAGTACTACTAGCAACGACTTTGTGGTTCGCAACTTCGCAGTGGAAACCGTCACGTAGTTCGCGGCGTTTTACTGGCGCATCAGATCACGTCTCCATCTTAACACCCTCCCACACGCCCACGGTTTAATTTGATGACATTTTTTCACATAGACAGACATGGCAAACTCTACCTATTATTTAGCTACGTACAATGATCGACAAGTGTTGAACGGCCTTGGTTTGTTTATTTCTTTCTACACATCTCCAAGGACCATATATATATATATATATGTATATATATAATGTGCACGTTAATTCATCACTTAAGTTACACTTTCTGGAAAGACGGTACAAGTATTCGATAGGCATATGTAGACTTTGTAAAGAGCGCCTAATATTTACTCGATCTGGTAGGAGAAATTAACACAAGTAAGGAAAACAGGTATCCACGTAGACTCCAAACCTCCAAATAGTATAATATTATCCATTGTGAAAATTAAAGGCGAGCGGATCAAGAAACAATAGTAGGGGTTTGTCCTCCTTATTTTCTATATTTAACTTATTCAAAGTTTCAGCAAGTACAAACCTAGAGGAGAGGAGAGATTTCATTTCATGTTTCCATCCAAGGAAGAGGGGGCTTGAGTTCCGACTGACACGGTGCTAAATCCGCCACTGCCTAGCAACCCCCCCTTCCCTCTCCCTCTCCGTCACTCTCTCAAGCTAACCATCTCTATGTGAGTCCCGTAGGCAAATAGACTATGAGCGATCAGTAAACTCGCCAACTCGGTATCGAGCAGGTGGACCAGATGTTTTTCTCTCTATTAGCCATGATTTACATCATAAAAAAAATCCACTAGCTTCGCGTGACAGTGAACTCAGCATCACATAGACAGCTAATCATCCACCTAGATAAGTATTTGATGTGTACGTATTTCTATTGGCTGCTGCTGGTGGTGGTCTGCAAAGACTTCTATCATTGCTTTTTTATATTCACAATCACAATGAATCAATGATGATGATGATATATAACCATGTAGCCTTTGTACTGTACTATGTTTTTTCTTTATTGTCGAATATAGCTACGCGCATGTGCAACTACAAAGTTTCATAACTTTTCGAGATCTACAACTTTCGTTTTTGCTGTTTGTCTATCTGAGGTCGTTTGAAAAAACTCGAATTTCCCGTATATCCAGTCAGGAGATCTGTCGGCAGCTCAGAAGCCGACAGGACCATTTTTTTAAAAATAAATATTTTAATTGAGTAATTGCAATTGTAGAAGCTGTTATAAAAAATAGCAACTATAGTACATTGTCGGGCTCTGGACGGCCGACAGGCTACGTGGCAATGCCACGTCAGCGGGCACTACCGGAGACGGCTTCTTTGTCGAGTGTCCCAGACTTTGCCGAGTGCTTTTTGTCGGGTGGTCAGCAAAGAGGCTATTTGCCGAGTGTCAGAGAGAAAGCACTCGGCAAACAACTGGCACTCGGCAAAGAGGTGGTTTGCCGAGTGCCGAGCACTCGGCAAACAATAACACTCGGCAAAGACCAGGTTTGCCGAGTGTCGGCCACTCGGCAAACCAGAACACTTGGCAAAGGGCCGTCGCCGTTAACGGCCGGCAGCCGCCGTTAACCCTTTGCCGAGTGTCTTCTCCTGACACTCGGCAAAGTGGTGATTTGCCGAGTGTCATTTTTTGACACTCGGCAAACCACATTTTTTTTCACTTTTGACCTCCAAACTTTTTCTGCAGTCCTCATACAATACCTGGTACTCCATGTTCCAATGTGGAACATTTCTTAAACTTTTTCTATATTTCTTTAATTTATTTCATTTAATTGAATTTTCTTGGATAATTCAAATTATAACTGCTAGTCATTCGAATAATGAAAAAAATGAATGGAAAAATGATATTCATGTTATTTAGTATGTTTTAAATTGTATGAATAGAAAAATGATACCATCATGTTATTTAGTATAATATAAAGGCCGTAAAGTTCGAGAATAGAAACCACCAATGTCATGATACATCTTGTTGTGATAAAAATTTGACATGACATTTAACTTTTAAACCGAGTTCTCCAAGAAGTTTCATGATTTCGTGAAGAGGCCGATGAGGTGGTAAGCATCGTCGACATGAAACTTCATGAAACTCCTCAATTTTTATCACAGCCTCCACATATGATATCATGACATCTTGACAAGTTTCAAGATTTTTCGGTCTTCGCTTGCTTTTTATAGAATTTAAAACAACTCGATCGCAAGTTCGTGGTCATGTTTCGTGAACAAGATGTTCGAAATTGGTGGTCTGTTCCTAGATACGGCCTCACATTATACTAAATAACATGAATATCATTTTTCCATTCATTTTTTCATTATTCGAATGACTAGCAGTTATAATTTGAATTATCCAAGAAAATTCAATTAAATGAAATAAATTAAAGAAATATAGAAAAAGTATGAGAAATGTGCCACGTTGGAACATGTAGTACCAGATATTATATGAGGACTGTAGAAAAAGTTTGGAGGTCAAAAGTGAAAAAATATGGTTTGCCGAGTGTCTATGTTTGACGCTTGGCAAAGGAGCCTCTTTGCCGAGTGCTAGGACGTATGGCACTTGGCAAAGAATTTAAAAAAAAAAAAACCCTCTTTACCGAGTGCCAGGCCGGGTGGCACTCGGCAAAGAATTTAAAAAAATTAAAAAATACTTTGCCGAGTGCTAGATAGGGGGCACTCGGCAAAGAATTTTTTAAAAAAAACCCTCTTTGCCGAGTGCCAAGCCAGGTGGCACTAAGCAGAGAATAAAAAAATTAAAAAAACCCTCTTTGCCGAGTGCCAAGCCGGTGGCACTCAGCAGAGAATTAAAAAAAATTAAAAAAAATAGTTTGCTGAGTGCCAGATCGGGGGCACTCGGCAAAGGGGGGATTTAGTGCCGCCGGCCTAGCCGGCCCTCACACACACGCACGTAGGTAGCTGACCGTGCCACCGTCGCCGCCGCCCTCGCCCGTGCCCGCACCGTTGGAGGAGGAGGAGAAAGAGAGGAGGAGACGAGGAGAGGAGGAAGAAGGAGGAAGAGAAGAGGAGGAGGAGCAAGAAAGAGGAAGGAGGAAGAAGGAGGAGGCGCCTCAGCCATCGTTGCCACGTCCCCGGCGCTTCCCTAGCCGTCGCCTTGTCCATCGGCACCCTGACCCCTTCACCACCGCCACCCTACGACGCCCACTAGGTATGCCCTACCGTCATCGTTGTCGTAGTATTACTAGTAGTTGCGATAGTAGTAGTGGTAGAGTAGTAGTGGTGGTAGTCATAGGAGTCGTAGGAGTGGTTGTGACATTGTTATATATATGTGGTTGGATATAATCTTGTGCATGTCGGCCATCGTGTTGTTCGTATATATGTGCATGTTGGCCATCGTGCCATTGGTTTTCTTGTAGGTTTTGGAAACCTCACCGTGCAGTGGAGGTGCTGCCAAAATTTTGTATTAACAGTTTTATGTTTCTTTTTTTGCAGAGAAGAGCCTGTCGGAGCGGAGCCAGAGTACCTCGGCGACCCCGATCGCCTTCCTCGCCGCTGTGGGTCTGCCTACACCGCGTCGCCTCGCCATGGCCCTGCTAGCCTGACTCCACCACCACCCTAGGTATAACCCCTCTTTCCGTATCATGGTCGTAGATCACGTAACGCAGTTAGGCATCTCCCGTTCGAAAGAGATACGGTTGGAAATATGCAGATATTTCCATATCTAAAACCGTATCTGTTTTGAATTGTCCACGTTTAGTTTCCATGGTCTGCTCCGATCCGAGATGGAGTTTCGGCATCATCTCCTTGTTCTCCAGATACACACTCTCCCTGGCAGGACATGTATTTGGAGAACAGCGGGGAGGTGCTGCCGAAATTCTGTCACGGATAGGAGTAGAGCATGGAAACTAACCTCATCTATGGATCCTTGCGTGGGATTAGGACCTATCCTTACCTATTAGATAGTAGGAACATCGTGTAGATGCAATTTATGTTTATATTACTCGCCGCTATATATGTTAGAGGATGGAGGACCATGAGTGGATGTACATGGGCCGCGTAAGTCAGGGTCAGGTCACTAATGAATGGATCGACAAGACTGATGCTTTCTTGGAACGGGCATTTGGCGTGGCTGCTAAAGGAGCGAGTAAAATTTGTTGTCCCTGCAGCAAATGTGCAAACAGGAAAAGACAAATGAAGAAGGTCATGGGGGAACATCTTTGGAAGAATGGATTTATGGCAGACTATACCCGGTGGGTATACCATGGTGAAGCCGATCGTATGAGAGAGGAGGTGGTAAGACCACGCGTCGAGGATTATGATGCTGATGCCGGGGTAGCAGACATGTTAAATGACTATCACGAGGCATAGTTCGCTGAAGGACGTACAGAGGAGCCAGAGGCAACCGCAAAGGCGTTCTACGACATGTTTGCCGTGGCACAGAAACCCCTTCACGGCCAGACAAAGGTTTCTCAACTGGATGCCATTGGACGCATAATGGCGTTAAAGTCCCAGTATAGCCTGAGTCGAGACGCCTTCGATGGTATGTTGACAGTTATTGGCAGCCTGCTTCCGGAGGGTCACCTTCTGCCAAAGAGCATGCATGAGTCACAAAAACTCCTTCGTGCACTTAAGATGCCATATGAGCAGATACATGCTTGCCCGAAGGGGTGCGTCCTATTTAGGAAAGAATACATGGAAGCAAAGTACTGTCCAAAGTGTAAATCCTCTAGGTTCCTGGAGGTAGATTCTGGTGATGGCCAGAAGAGGCAGCTTGATATTCCCATGACAATCCTATGGCACCTTCTGTTCATACCGAGGATCCAACGGCTATACATGACCGAGGAATCCACGAAACAGATGACATGGCACAAAAATGGTAAACGATACAATCTTGACAGGATGGTACATGCATCCGATGGTGAAGCATGGACCCACTTTGATGGCATTCATCATGAGAAAGCTAAAGAGGCTCGTAATGTACGTGTTGCGCTGGCAATAGATAGGTTCAATCCTTATGGAATGATGGCTGCCCCATACACACGTTGGTCCGTGTTCATTATCCCCCTCAATCTCCCCCCGGCGTATGCTTTCAACGACAGAACGTATTCTTATCGTTGATAATTCTTAGACACCCGGGGAATAATATGGGTGTGTTCATGGAGCCTGTGATTGATGAATTGGTCCGTGCTTGGGAGGAAGGGGTATGGACATACGACCGAGCTACAAAGAAAAACTTCAAAATGCATGTTTGGTACCACTACTCCCTGCATGACTTCCTGGCGTATGAGATATTCTGTGCCTGGTGTGTTCATGGGAAGTTCCCATGCCCAGTATGCAAGGAAGGTTTGAGGTTCATTTGGTTGCAGAAGGGTGGCAAGTATTCATCGTTCGACAAACATCAACAATTCCTCCCTCTTGACCATGCATTCAGACGAGACATCAAGAACTTTACGAAAGGTGTTGTAGTGACAGACCGTGCAGCACCGATAATGATTGATGCCGCAGTTCATGAATAGATAGATGGTCTCGCGGTCAATCCAGAAGGTGGTTTTGTGGGATATGGTGAGCAACATATGTGGACTCATAAGTCGGGCATGACTCGGCTCCCCTATTTTGATGACCTTCTCCTTCCACACAACATTGATGTAATGCACACTGAAAAGAATGTCGTCGAGGCACTTTGGGCAACAATCATGGACATTCCTGACAAGTCAAAGGACAACGTTAAGGCTAGAGTGGATCTGGCAACGTTATGCGATAGACCAAACCAACATATGGCCATCTTGGTGATGATACTTGTGGTTGTTAATGGTACTTCTATTTGAAATTGTGGTTGTAGATGATGGAGCACTTGGATTACTTGTGAACTTATTTGTGATATATTGTGAGACATGTGACGTTTGTGATATATCTGTGACGTTTGTGATATATATATGGTGTTGGTGATATATATGTGTTGTTGGTGATGTTTCTTATATATATCTTCTGTTTGTTTGGATGGGATGTAAAAAACAAATAAAAAAGACTGTTTTCAGTCACTTTGCCGAGTGCAATGACCATGACACTCGGCAAAGTGACTACCTGGGAACATGCTTTGTCGAGTGCAAAGGCCATTGCACTCTACAAACATCACAGATTTGCCGAGTGTCACGGGCCAGGCACTCGGCAAAGGTCGCCTGTTTGCCGAGTGTCTTGACAGGACACTCAGCAAATAGGCTACCTTTGCCGAGTGTTTTGCCGGTGGCACTCGGCACAGTGGCCACCTTTGTCGAGTGCCTGAGCCAACGGCGCTCGGCAAAGCGGCGACCTTTGCCGAGTGCTTGACCTTGACACTTGGCAAAGCCGCTGTCAGATTAGCACTCGGCAAAGGCTTTGCCGAGTGCCCGATAAAGTGCACTCGACAAAGAGGTCTTTACCGATAAACTATTTACCGAGCGCCCTTTGTCGAGTGTAACACTCGGCAAAGGCCGAAGCCTTTGCGAAGCTGAATCCGGTAGTGGGGCCCGCGCCGATTGCAGACCAGTCGGCTTGCCAGCGGCCGATAGGCCATTCAGCAGCCACGCACACCTGCAAGTACGTGCAGACTGTGCATGCTGTGTCCACGCACGCATGCTCCTAGTTTTATTCTGTTCCTCTGTCATGTACTCATGTGTATGTGTATATGATGGTGTCAATCCTTTGTTGTACAGGCTGCTGCGCCCAAGCCGAACCCGAAGGTCGAGGATGGTATCTTGGGCACGTCCGGCGGGATCGGTTTCACCAAGGAGAACGAGCTGTTCGTCGGCCGTGTCGCCATGCTTGGCTTTGCCGTGAGTATATTTAGAAGACACTGACGCCCATGTTTTGCAGCTGCATCTGGATGGAGTGTATTCATGCACGCTTAGGAAGTAGTAGAAAAAAAATGTTCTTATATACTCTCCGTATTTAAATATATATGACGTTTAGAATAAGCTAGTTAGCTTTATTAGCTAATTAGCATGTCTTAAACATTACATTTAAAAATTGCGAGAGTATATCTTTTAGAGTCAACATAGGTGATATCTTTCATATTGACCAAAATAATTAGAGTAGTGCACACCATCCATCTATGGTACTCAATCCATTCCAAATTGTAAGACGTTTGATTTTCTTAACACCAAGTTTGACCACTCGTCTTATTCAAAAATTTGTGTAAAATATCACTTCTTTCGTCGTGGTTTGGTTTATTAATAAAAATTCTTCAAGAATAACTTAAATTTGACTATATTTGCATAAATTTTTTGAATAAGACGAGTGGTCAAACTTGAGGCCAAAAAAGTCAAACGTCTTACAATTTGGGATGGAGGGAGTATTATATTAGGAAAAACAACAATATATAGCTTTGGCAATAAAGCATAGCCATTCAATTTTTGTGATAGCTACTACTGCTGCCGTAGCAGGATACTGTGGTCGCTGTTACGAAGGGAAGCATGACCACATTCCACGTTTCGGGGTCCCATGTTATAAAATAACACTCAAGTTCCCGTTCTCATTTCATCATGGGAACATGGCTGCTAAGTGTTACCTCTGAAGTTAGCAGCTGGGTTTCAGCTCCAGATGAAAATTCAGTAGGGAAAAAGAGGAATGATGGGTGGAAGAAAATCGCTAACGGTCAAAATAAAAGATTTACTCACTTAATTTAAACCCGAAATAAAGTACTCAATTACTCCTGGTAGTTAGCGGTCTCCCAAAATAAATAAATTATAGATTGTCTAATTTATGCATTATCTTGTTATAGACATCTACTCGTGTATGTATTATGGAGTATTGTCAGTTGAAACGAGGATTTATTAACACTAGTCTTTAACATGCATGGCAGGCATCGCTCCTTGGAGAGGCCATCACCGGTAAAGGCATCCTTGCCCAGCTGAACCTGGAGACGGGCATCCCCATCTATGAGGCGGAGCCCCTGCTCCTCTTCTTCATCCTCTTCACCCTCCTTGGCGCCATTGGCGCTCTCGGGGACCGTGGTAGGTTCGTCGACGAGGAGGTCACCGGCCTGGACAAGGCCGTCATCCAGCCCGGCAAGGGCTTCCGCGGCGCCCTCGGCCTCAGCAAGGGAGGTAAAAGAAAAAAAAAAGAACTGCTCACGACACTTTCGCATGCAGCTGTCTCTTGTTCGTTGATTTGAACATTTTTTTATTTAATTGTGGTGCCTGCGGTGCATGCGATGCAGGGCCGCTGTTTGGGTTCACCAAGTCGAACGAGCTGTTCGTGGGACGGCTGGCTCAGCTGGGCGTGGCCTTCTCCATCATTGGCGAGATCATCACGGGGAAGGGCGCGCTGGCGCAGCTCAACATCGAGACGGGGGGTGCCCATCAACGAGATCGAGCCACTCGCCATCTTCAACGTCCTCTTCTTTTTCGTCGCCGCCATCAACCCCGGCACCGGCAGGTTCATCATCGGCGAAGGCAAAGAAGAGTAGGCTGATCGATGCTGGCCTCGGACATGATGAGTGATGAGTAGTGTGCGCTTGGTTACCTGTGATTGATCGATCAGTGTGTGCGCGTACGTGCTTTGTTGTGTATTAGTAAGCGTGATGAGACCTCTAAAGGTAGGGTGTCGTGTTGGGTTGTCTTGTAGAAACAAGAGCTTATGTTAGATAATATGCAATGCTTGCAAGAAAGTGTTATTCTAGCTTGAGATGCATGGATGGAGGGAGCACATGTTCTCCTAGACTAGATCTTGTTCAGTTCGAGAGATCACCGGCCAACCATCGGTATAAATCACACTGACCTTCGGTACTGAACTGCATTTCTCTTAGGCGCTCTCTTCCGTAACTCTACTCCATTTCCGTTTGGGCCTGTTTGTTTAGACTTTTTGGGAGCTTTTGATCTTAGCTTTTGGACTTTCAAAAAAAAATTCACGGAAGCTAAAAGCCTGGAGCTCACTACAGTGAGCTTTTGACTTATGAGAGTTGTTTAACTTTTAGAAAATATAAAAACTAGTAATCTAAAAGTGATCGAAAGCTCAAGGCCTAACTTTTGACAGGCAAGGTGATTATGGCTAACGACGAAGTTCAGATATAAATGGGCCCATCCACTTGTGTGTGTATGGACTGGTAGGCCGGGAGTGTGATTTGAGCCCAAAGCAATAGCTAGCATGGGCGGAGACATGTGGGGACCATAGGGGGCTGCGGCCCCCTTGGTCAAGGGAGTTTTCTGAAGAGCGAAACGTGAGCAGCTGCGACGTACATTATTAAGTGCAATATGCTTGAGTGAATTCTTTGTCTGGTGCTATCCCAGCACCTCTTGCCGAACTCAGCACACGGAGCTTCGATTAAAAAATTGGCTTGCACTGCTATATATGCGCCTGAAGTCTTTGAACTGCTCTCCTCCCTCCCTCCTTCCCTCTCTGGTCTACGTGTAGGAAGGTGAAAAGTGACTTTTTATTTGTTACTAATGCTTGATACTTGATATGCTAGACTTCATGCTAGCTTGGTCCAATATGCTGGACTGAAATTTACTAAGATATATAGCCTCTTTGACGTGGACTATGGCTAGCAATACCTTCTATTCTAAACGCTGCAACTGCTATCAGGCACTATAGATTTTTTTTAGCTCCCATGACAGTTGGCTGCTGCTGCCTACAACAATTGCTATACTACGTAAAGACAATATATGTTTCGCAAGCATTTCTCTTCTTAAAGCATTGGCAGGCATTGTATTGAATGATGTTGGAGCTCATCCACGATGTCATCAAACGAGTTTTACATATGCACAAGCACTTCATCTCATTTTTCATCTTACTTGCTGGCTTCTCTTGTTCATGGAGCAAGCGCAAGCTGGAAGGTAGTAGCATCTAGTTAGGTGTGGCATGAGCTTATGGAATTGGCCCCCTCTTGATTTTAGCTCAGGCTCCGCCACTGCCGCATTCAATTTCGTGCACGCACAGGTAGTTGGCCGGAGAGAGCTCTACGTACTAGGCTTTGGTCATTGCCGTGGCTGCAGCCAGGATGTCAGCAGGCAACAACAGGTCACAGGCGGGCGATGCCATGCCATGCCGCACAGGGCGGGAGACCGACTGACATGGCAAATTCTACCTATTATTTAGCTACGTACGATGATCAACAAGTGTTGAACCTTCTTGGTTTGTTCATTTCTTTCTACACATCTCTGACAACCATATATGTATATATATAATGTGCCCGTTAATTCATCACTTAAGTTACACTTTCTGGAAAGACGTACGTGTATTCGATAGGCATATGTAGTATGTCCAAATTTGTCCTTGACGGTCACTTTGTAAAGAGCGCCTAATATTTACTCTGATCTGGTGGGAGAAATTAACACAAGAAAGGAAAACATGTATCCACGTAGACTCCAAACTTCCAAATAGTATAATATTATCCATTGTGAAAATTAAAGGCGAGCGGATCAAGAAACAATAGTAGGGGTTTATCCTCCTTATTTTCTATATTTAACTTATTCAAAGTTTCAGCGAGTACAAACTTAGAGGAGAGGAGAGATTTCATTTCATGTTTCCAACCAAGGAAGAGGGGGCTTGAGTTCCGACCGACACGGTGCTAAATCCGCCACTGCCTAGCAACCCCCCTTCCCTCTCCCTCTTTGTCACTCTCTCGAGCTAACCATCTCTAGGTGAGTCCCGTAGGCAAATAGACTATGAGCAATCAGTAAACTCGCCAACTTGGTATCGAGCAGGTGGACCAGATGTTTTTCTCTCTATTAGCCATGATTTACATTATCAAAAAAAAAATCCGCTAGCTTCGCGTGACAGTGAACTCAGCATCACATAGACGGCTAATCAGCCACCTAGATAAGTATTTGATGTGTACGTATTTCTATTGGCTGCTGCTGCTGGTGGTCTGCAAAGACTTCTATCATTGCTTTTTTATATTCACAATCACAATGAATCAATGATGATGATGATATATAACCATGTAGCCTTTGTACTGTGCTATGTTTTTTCTTTATTGTCGAATATAGCTACGCGCACGTGCAACGACAACTGCACACCACCTTAGAGCGACAGCCCTGTGATGTGGTCGTCGTCGTCCCCAAACGCTGTTAACTAAACGTTGCAAAAGCCATTGTACTGTAGCTTCATGAATTAGTGCACCTTTTTAAAGCTATCATCATATTATGCCACTGCTACAGAAACAATTAGTAGAGGCCACTACTACAGCGCAGGGATATAGTAACACTAACTTGTGTTATAATAGGTTGGAAAAAGTGTTACTAGCTCTTTTAGTAACACATTTTTTGTGTTCCAATTGGTCATGCTACTATAGACTGGTTTATTGTAACACATTTACTTATCTGTAGGAACATTTGTCTAGTGTTATAGTGATTTTTGCTGTAACACTTTTTTTTCTCTATTAACACTTCGTATTGGCCAAACATTTATTTTTCTATTAGAACATTTGCCTAGTTCTTTTTTTTAGTTCTAGTAACTACTACAAGGTGCACTAGCAATGACAATGGGTGTTGCAATAGACCTTATTGCCACGCATTAATAGCATTGCAATAGATGGACCATCTATTGCCACACTATCTTTGTGGTTGCTATAGCTGGAACCCTCTATTGCGATGACAAATATTTGATTGCTACAGGTGGCCTCTCTATTGCCACACTATCTCTGTGGTTGCTATAGGTGGAACCCTCTATTGCCACGACAAATATTTGGTTGCTAAAGGGGCAGTCTCTATTGCCACGATCAATACTTAGTTGCCATACTTGGACCCTCTATTGCCACGATCGATACTTGGTTGCTATACTCAGACCCTCTATTGCCACGGTTACTATTGTGTTGCTATAGTTTGGAGACTCTTGCCACGCCCACCATTTCATTGGTTTGAGGTTTTTTGCCACATTGTTTGTTTGTTGCTATAGCATATATTGCAACACTAAATGATTATGCCGATAGTCCATATTGCATCGCTTTGTTTAGTAGCTTCAAACAATAATTACACGCCGACCAATATATGATGAATGAAGCATTTAGACAACCATTAAAACAAAATATGCTTTGTTCGTATAAATCATTAATGAAACTATCTAATGTCAAACTTAGTCAATAACACACACAACTGAAACACATAAGGTATACAATAGTACAACACCAACTAGCTAGTTTGAACACATTAAAATGTAATGAGCTATGTACAACTACAACAAAGGTTGCCCTAATGTTGATAATCCCATCAATCGTGCGCTCCGCTCAAACTCCATCTGGCTCCTGAAAAGAATCATTTAGGTTTGGAGAGAATGAATATCCAGACTGAGAAAGCATCTCACAGTTCTGATGAATCAATTCTACCACTTCAATCAGGATCAAACCTTTCAAATATTACCTGAAAAATACAGCAAAACATCACTTCACTACAATAATCCATTTGTTAATTTTGCTTACATATAAATATTGTGAAAAAGGCAGTATTAAGTTGTAGGTCATCTTACTCTCTAGTTTTGAAGACTATAAAACATAAGTAAATTCCTTGGTCCTGAGAAGGTAGAATTCAAAATGAGTATATTTTTATTAAGGCAAGATTGTAAAGGAGATAGAAGGGAGTGTTGAATCTGATATAGGCGTACTTCATACTAATCGGAAAAAGGTAGAGAAAAAGGAACACAAGTTAGCACTGATCCTTTAACATTAGACGAGAATAAACAAACACACATCTCATGACTTGAATAAAATGGTGTATAAAAATCTTGCATGAACAGAAGTCCAATAATAATAAGGCTAGTTGCAAAAGTTATTAGTTTATTATGTTAGCCTTTGTACATGATGGAAATAGCATTTCAGATTATTATCAATTGTATAAAGTCTAAATGTAAATCATCTGAGCAGGAATGCAAGGCGAATACTAGAGGAAATTAGATATGGGATGCATCTAACATAAAGCAGATCATGGTGCTCCTACTGTAATTTTTTTCCTAAACAGAAGGGATTGCAAAAATTGATAAATTTGATTATTGTGTCATTTTCCTTGTTCTATTGCTTAATTTTCGTCCTAAAAAAGCAATGGAATCTAACAAGAGAACTTTTAGTATAAGACACCTAAGTTACAGAATGGCAGTAACCTACTTCGCCAAAAGAACACCCAAGTTACAGTAATAGATTCTCTCATTTTTCTCGTCTCTCAGGCTCATATCAATGCACATTGGCAAAGGCAAGCAGAAGAGCAGAGAGCGCTCTAAAATATTTTTAAGAACACACAAGCTAGTGGAAAGAGAAGTGATGCAACTGGAAACAAGTTACATACCTTTCCGCTCAAAAAGCGTAAGTGAAAGGCATTTCATTCATGCTAGATATAATCCCACGTCTAAAACAATATAATAAGTGCTTTTATAATACTCTCATCTCAAATTAGAACACATTCAAACTGAATTAATTTTTAAAAAAATAGCTCAAGTTTTTGCGAGGTTCGTGCGAATTTAGGTAAACCTTGTATGCTGAACACATT